ATAGAATTGATTTAAACTAGACTTGATTAAATCCAGTCTAGTCAGTTAGAACCTAACCATTTCCACAAGGTTTCAGTTGGCAGAGCTACACAATTGTAAATTTATGGTATTTTTATAGAAAATAGAAATCAATTTCAATGTTTGTGTACAGAGTTTTTGCTGTTCAATTCAAACCTATGTGAGCTGCAGTGTTTTATATTTGATTATATGCTTACAATCGACTGGGAAATGCAAGTACAAATGACTTAAAATTCACTATTTCATCAAGATTTTATCTGTGTTAAGTGCAAAAAATTAGTTAATTTAATTATATTTTTTATTTATATTTTGTGAACAACAGCAACCATATTGCTAAATTCGAGGAAATCGGATCACTTGTTTTTATGGTAGCTAACTACCTGAAAGAGCGGCAGTCGTCATGCCGCGTACTGTTCGATATGGGACTCATAGCGACGTATACAACGCGTGTAAAATGCATTGTTTATTTACATGAAATTCGAACTCGCGCTGCGCGACAATCACCACGCTTTAACAGAATATATTAACTGCAACTACCCTAGCTCAGATTAAAGGGTGGCAGTCGTCATGCCGCGTCCTGTCCGATATGGGACTCATAGTGACGTATACAACGCGTCTAAAATACATTGTTTATTTACATGAAATTCGAACACGACTGCTGCGTGACGACCACCACGTTTTAATGTTTGATAATTACAAATAGATACCAAATTCATCACAAATTATCTTTTGTTCTACTTCACTTGTGTGTGTGTATAAATTCTCATTTTTTTGAATATTATAAGCATATAAATGTAACTTCAATGCCTATAATACTGAAGCTGATGTAATAATGTTTCTCTGTACATTTTTTTTTGTAAAATATCCTACCACATATTTTTGAGAACTAGATGAAATTGCCAAATTGACATTGTCATGGTAACATAGCAACTCAACAACAAAAATACATTGCTAAAAACAAAACAAAATCCATACCATCTGCTTTGCTTTTGTCATCTTGATTCAGAGCTTTTTCAAATAGACCCGTTGAATTGGAAATCTGCAAGAGGTTTGGATCTGATAGCGTTCTTCGTTTATCTGTGAGTGGCGAAAGACCATCTTCGTCATAATCTTCTTCAACTGCAGTGGGTACTTTTGACTTTTTAAACACGGCCATTTTTAATCTTCCTGTGCAGGTATGGAAAAATTACATATCGTAAAAATATACGTATATGAAAAGCATTATACATTATGTAGCTTGCATAGAGGCTACAGTTTAAAAACTGCATTACGCCAGCTACAATGCAGTCAGTAGAATCAACAGTGAGGTCTCTAATCCAACAGATATTTTCTGTGACACAACTAAT